AAAAGTATCTTTGTCACATTGGGGAAAACCTGCTTTCTTTGAAACAGTCACAATTTGAGCTGGGCTGGCTTATATAGTGTCCTGAAGATGGAGGAAGAGATGGTGTGAACTGCTAATTGTCTACAAAATCTCTCAAAGCATAAGGCTGAGTGAGACTACTGGAAAAAGTTTTTTTTTTTTAATATTTCATTTGATTACTTTGAACTGCTGATTTCAAATACATATCAATACATATTTTATTAGAACTGGTGCTGGAGTTACGATGGTACCTGAATGTGTCATAACCTGATGTTCTGTTTTGAGGGGAAAAAAAGATCAGTCAGGGAGAGAGCAAATACACTTTTCTCCCATAGTTCCTCCAGGATGCAGCCTGGCTCCAGCAGTAGTTGCCTGGATTAGGAAGTGATGGGTTCACACTCCTTCCTGAGCTCTGCAGTAATGAGCTGAGTCAGGAACTGCTGACTCTCACTGCAGGCCATGGAACAACCTTCATTAAGTTGAAAAGCAGGAGCCCAGAGCCTTGGTTGAGTAGCTGGCCTCTAACTACATTAAGCAACGTGGTTTGAATGGGTTTATCTTCTGAAGCGGTTTAAATTACTTAATATGATGGCATTGATGTACTTGTCTGCCAGTGTTTTGTGTGTAAATCTTATCATCAGTGACTGTCTTTCCACCCCACGGATGATAGCAGGGGCCTTGGTAAGCGCTGCTGCTAAACCCGCAGCAGAGTGCATCTGTTCTGTAATGGTTTCTTTGACTGACACGCTTAAAAGTTTTTGTTGATTTTCATTTACTTAGTGCTCTGCTGACTCTCCACAGTACCAGTTGTGTACGACTATCACGTGGTACTGTGTCAAACACCCTTCCAGAATGCTTCCATCCGCACCGTTACTCTTTATCAACCAAAGCTGATCAATCCAATCAAATGAAATGGGTTCAACAGGATCTGTATTGGGATTTCAGAGGGATCTGCATGGTTCTGTGATTCTGACTGACTACAACTAAGTTTTACCTCTAGAATTGTCTGCCTGCTCTTTCATTTCAGAAGGCTAACTTCTCTCAGGTCCCCACTGGGAATGGAGAATGATTGGTTATCCGGGTTGGATGAATAGTCTAATCGTGACACTGCTGTAATGAGAATTTTACAGGAAGTGGGCAAATCCTAGTTCTAAGTGTCTGTCCTTGCTGAAAGGCTGGTGTTATCAGTAGGATTGATGTAATGATAAAACTGGAAGCTACACATAGGAGGCCATCCCTTATGTATGCAGTCGGTGTGTAAGAGCAAGTGCCAATTCCTTTCAGACAGAGAAGCCTCGTCTCCCAGAGAATCTCAAATGGATTTTGGCTGAAATACTAAAATGTTGTGAAGAAACTTAGGCAGAGGGATATGTGCTTGTCTAATTGCTTTTGTTACCTGTGTTTCTTAAACAATCAAACAAAAACTCTTCTGACATGAGAAGCGTAATTGAAGGGGTGATCTGAAAACCTGGAATTGTCCACGCAATGAAGAGCTCTTGAGAAAGAGATGGGAATTTGGAGGGTCAGCAGCACTGGCCTTGTGTTGTGTATTTGAGCTGTAAGGTCGTCTTTTGTGGGCCATGTTAATGCCTGTAGTTTGTTTGTAGAGGAAGCTGGAAAAAGTTGCATGGCCTGTTTGATTCAGATGCTCTTAAAAGTTTGGAGACAGCATAGCCAGTTGTTGAAAATTCCACTGGGGAGTCTCTGCTGCAGATACGCAGCAGCCTGTCCTATGAAGGTGTGTTGATTGGCATTATATATATATTTTTCAGTTTTGCATAAGCAAATCTTTAATTAATGTAAAGGATCTTGAAGGGAATATGTAAAGCAAATGCTGTAAGGTTAGATACAGAGTTTGTGATGAAGAAAGGATTCAAAGGAAATACTTCCCAAGCAGTTTTTTTTTCTTTGTGGACTGTACACATGTAAAGCACTCCTCATCATTTCAAAGAGGGCGTGTTGATTAAACCTGAGGAAATTTCAGTTTGCAGAAGAAATACTTGTTAGGTGTTGGGGGCATAAGCGAGCAAGTTGCAGGTG